GTCTACAACTCTCCGAGAAGAAAAATATGGATTGTGACTACCTAAAGATACAGAGCTTCAAGTTACTTCATATCTGATGTCTTGAAAATGTCCGGTATCTCTTAAGCAACATGGAAAACTGGCGAGACTCTACATTGCATAACGGCCGCATCTGGGGCTCACATCTTTGGTACACATTTGCAACCGCGTGGAGAACCAATCATAGCTCCTCAGTGACGCGACCTTGCTCTCCTTTATGGAAACGTCGTTGGTAGTGTAAGGATAAGAGAAAGTATTGTACGTACCGTATGAATGGGTATACAAAAGGAATTCGACTTCTGATACATCAGCAGTTTGCTGACTTCATATGCTCTTCTTAACAAGTTGACAACTGGTTCCGCTTCCTTGAGGGGAACCGAGATTTTTCTCGTTTCTTAGCTGGCCATTATGCCTTCACCTGGTGGAAGTTATTGGTAAATCAAGGTGAGACACAGATAAATAAGCTGAAGGGGAAAATAAAATAGTCGCAACACATTCTTGATGCACAGAACAACCGTTGAATCAAGCCAGACTGTCAATGAGCCCATATTCAAGAGCTTTGGGATTCTCGATCAATTTCTGGAAGCATGGGTATTCCTTGATATAACATCTGGCATCATCATGAGCAATTTCGTCTTTAACACTGGTCCAACCTTGCAAAAATAAACCTTTGTTGGTGTTTCTGGCCACATCGGTATGTCCACACTCGGAGGTTTCCTCTTGATCTTGATTTTCCTTCTGCTTTTTTTTTTCTTGTTATTTAAATATTTGTTTATTCAGTTGTTGACAGGTTTGACAATCATCCTTTCTCAGATATTTTGCTCATGTAGCTGCCGATGCAAAGTGCGCTAGGAATATTGCACGCACTACCTTCTGCGAACTCACAATATAAATCGAGATTGTCTTCTTCACCACCTTTGTCAATTGGATCATTCTCTCCTAATAATAGTAAAGGGTGAAAATTCTTCTTGCAGTAATCGCAAAATTTAAGCTGGTGTATTATGTTTTCGATTATGCCCTGATTTTGACTTTCTTGCCAGAGGAACCAGAGTTTCGAACGGGCACATTCTTGTCAGATTGTGAGATGCGTTGCAATGGTGAGAAGATTAACAATCCACTAAAGGTCTCAACCTATGCAGGGACGGATGAAAGCTAAAAATTTGCTTGCATGTTTGTCAAATTGTTTTAGGTTCAATTTGTACGGCTTTTCCTGGCGGCGGTTCTGAATATCGTGCTATCCTAATGGCTTCAATCTTCTGTTTCAGGTAGCCAAGTCAGTCATCTTTTGTGCATGTCCCAATGGGATGCAATATGCTCCCGGCTAAAACTAGTTTTACTAGCATAAGCGTTGACCGTGGGTGCCATTCTTTTCATCAATATAAGCTGCGGCTTCGCCTCCAAGAATGTCGTAGTTTCCCTTAGTATCACACTTGGAAGCTGTGATCGTGATTTGATTTAGTTGGCGAACACTAACCATTTTGGCTGGGTATGAGTATGAATACACATTCTTGAAGTGGATAGGCCCATTGTCTCTCATAGGTCTATCAGGCAGTTTCAATCGCCAGAACTTTCGCCTCTTTGATTGTTTTTTTCGTGGTCATATATTTTTGCTGCTTGGTTCGTCATCTGCAGGCCTAGGTCGGATGACAAACTTTTCCTTCACGCAAAGTCTTACAGCTGCCGGCAAACAAGCTGAGCTTTCTATTGCTGCCCTTGTTGCGACACGAGAGCCCGGCGGCGGCCATGATCTAGCATCAACATTCAGGCCCGCTGTTTGACGTCCAGGTTCTCTTAGGTTAATCGTGAAGTGGTTGGGTTGGAAAAGACTAAAGATAGAGAAAGCACTTTATTCATAAATTCTTTGCTCATTATGACCATGTTAGATAATTGGCTTGCTGGGCATGAAGATATTCGGTCCTTTATAGCATGGTGTTTAGTGTAACGATATTAAATGGCATCACAGAAAGAGATACAACAATCGACTGGTATTGAGGATATATATATGATATTACGCTCGATACATGCACCTTAAGATTCATAGCTCATATACAATTGAGAAGACTAATGACAACGAAAGCCCTACCCTAACCTCGAAAATGGCTGGGGAATGGGTGAACATGTATCAATTTGGACGAGGGATTAGAGTGATAACTAAATGTAATTTGTAGTATGCGGATGGTCTGTTTGCTGGTATTGAAGAAAAATAGAAAGCGTTTGAAGACTCCTTTGGTACCGAAGGCCTGAGATATAGCCTCATCAGGCCAACAAATAAAGAGAACGAAAGGAAAACTCAATCTGGATAGCTGCTGTATCCAAAAGCGTATGACATATACACAGTATATATGATTCGATTGAGGTTAGAGACAATGTGCAAAGAAAAGAAACGAGGATGAGATAAAAAGAGCTTCAACACTAGTCTGTTTTGGGACGGCGAACAAGCTTCACGTAAGCAACGATATCAGCATCAAAGAATGACCTTTCAATTTCCCATAGACAATTCCTTACATTCATTATCATTACAACATCACGCGTAACTATATTACGATTTAGTTCAAGAACCCTTGTGTTTCGTCGATATGGAGGTGGCTTCTCTCCTCCAACCATCGACCACCAATGGCACAAACGTCAAACCAAGCACAATTGAGACCCCTCTGGATATCGAGATGGACCTTGATCTGGGACCTTTACCAGAACCAGAGCATGTTGAAATAGTTAGTGTTGTACCCGTTACCCTAATTTCACTATAGTTTCTGATAGTTATTCGTATAACAGGATCAAGTTCCATTAGCCACGGCGGAAGAAGCTGCTGCAAGCTCTCACCTCAACGAAGAACCTCAGTTTGAAAAGGTTCATATTCGGGGAGTTGATGAGCTTACTACAGAGGATCTGAAGCGGTACGCAAGTGAGCACTTCGTAGCAGAGGAACTCACCCGGATAGAATGGATCGACGACACCTCTGCGAATCTTGTGTATAGCTCTGTCGACGTCGGTCTGCAAGCGCTGGCTACCTTTTCACAACAAAACCCGGAGGAAGACTCGTCGCGATTACCTCCACTGCGACTCCGGACGGCGAAATCCCTATCTACGCATCCAGAGTCAGTCCTGCAAGTACGAACAGCGGTGAAAACAGATCGAAAGAAGCAACGAGCCCATGAATCGAGCCGTTTCTACCTTATGCATCCAGAGCATGATCCCCGAGAGCGAATGATGAGAGAGTTTGCAGACAGGCGGCGTAGCGGCCGGAGAGACGATAATGACAGCGATTACTCAAGAAGACGATTCGATGACAGGGAGCATAGACGAAGACGGGGTCGCGCCAAGGAAGAAAATTTCAACGAGAGTATGTACGATGACGACGCTGCGCGGAGTAGAGCAAGGAGCAGCTCAAACGAAGGCAGGCTAAATGGAGATGGAGGGGAAGAGAGATGGAGCCGTAATAGGCGCGAAGTTATTGAGCTCTTCCCCGACGACAACCCTAGCTCGTTAGGACGACTTCGGGGTCGTAGCGCTTCTCCGCTTAGAATGGGATTTGATCAAGGAGACCCTGCGATGGATAGCCGGGAACGGACCCGTAAATCTTTCAGAAACCGTTCTCCGAGGAACAGCCGAAACAGAGATCTAATACATGGGGCCGACGAATATGCTACTAGCAATGACAGCTCTGAGCGCCGGGAGTTATTCCCAAACAAAACAACATCCAGTTACCTCAAAAGGGAGCTTTTCCCCAAAAAAGTCACTTCAAGCAACCACCGCCGCTCCGATGCGTTCGATGCTGCCGACGAAACTGCAGATCTATTTTCTAAACGAATACCGGTTACCTTGATGGATGGAACCAGTGGTGGCGAGATATCCGGCAGATCAACAAGCCAGGTTGAATTATTCCCAGATAAAAGTGACAAAAATGGAATCAGCATCCGTGGTGCTGCCTCGGAGGGTAAGGGAATCTCTATTCGTGGCACTTCTCAGGGAATATCTATCAAAGGTGCTGCCTCCGTTAGAGAGTTATTTCCCTCCAAATATAATAGTAACGAGGGGAAAGAGCTGTTTTCGGACAAGCTTCAGGGTCGAGGGGGTAGGCGCAGGAAAGCGGAGGATATGTTCTCTTAAAAAGGAAATTGGCATTCTGACCTTTTTATTCTCCTCCCGTTTTGCGATGATCTGATGATAAGGCCCAAGACAATTTGGATAACGGTATTTCACCGTTTTATAGAATGAAGATATTTTATTATTGTATTTTGGACCTGGCATTATTTTTTTTCTTGTTTTATTGTTTTATGGGTTCATTCGCAGAATGGTATATGACCTTGGCAGCAGTGTAACCCGCCGAAACTCTTGGGCATTTTGAATTCCGGGATTAAATTACATATTGAAAATCCAAGTGACTCCATCAATCTCCTACCTAATAGGAAATACGACCTTAAATGTGCAACTTTTCAGCCAGTTTATCCCACACCCTCTTATCATGGGATGGTCAATTGCCTCCCAGGCTCTTCTTCTCCATGAAACAAGCCAAAATTTAACATAAAAACATGGAATGAGGAGCGGGGTGCGCGTGGAAGAATTTTATAAGAGAATCCTGAATGCTTTCATCTCGACCTCTCACTTCTACCTTCGGTTTCACCATGCGTCCTTGTGGCGTTACGAGCGGGACACTAGCAGCGTTTCTTGAAGCATCGGGGCTGCCACTGAAATAGACAACCTCGCACAACAAAGGTGCGAAGCTTGGGCCATCGAGAAATTATGGAGCAAATGAAGGTGTTTGATAGATTCCTGGGATGCGAACGAACTGTCCATGGAGAAGATCTGGATGGGTGGAAAATTCCTGGTGAGTTCGCTTCTTGTGCAGAAATTCCATCTTTTTGCAATATTTACCTGCCATTTCTTAGAAATCTGCTCCTTGCCCTGGTGCTTCGAGGTCGTCATATGCATTCTGGACCTTGCAAGAATCAAACTGTTTCAAGTTTCATCCCTGCTGCAGAACAGACCCTTGACTCGATTAGTTTTCTTGACGTTTTCACTAAATTAGACCATAGCACCATCGACACCAAACATGCTTGAGACCCCAAGCGCGGCAAATCTGGTCACAGTCTGTGTTCAACCCTATATAAAACCATCAGAAGATGGCCATCCAGAAGAGGCGTCGCTGCTAATTGTTTCGGGCGCGGACAAACTCGTGAGTCTCTACGATGTCCAAGCACCCTACCCTCTCCTTTGTACGCTCGACAACCTATCAGATAGTCCTTTCCTTTCTGGGATCTATCTCTACGACGGTGCATACCGAGCAATGACAACGGTGTCTGGAGAGCTATTGCTATTCCAAGGACCGAGAGCCATAGCATCCAGGAAAGATCATACCAAACATGCTGTGGACGTGGTATCGTTCCAGGAAGAGCCGCCGGAAGTCCAAACCACTTGGCTAGCGACAGCCGGGTGGGATTCAAGAATATATATCTACAGCATAACCCTCCTAGATGTAGGTGCGCAGATCACAATCGGTGAACCGCTAGCGGTTATCAAAACGGCCACAGTACCAGAATGCATCCTCCTCATGCGCAGCGAGAGTACCGGGGACTTGGTTCTTCTAGCGTCTCGACGTGATTCGACATGTCTATTTTATTACCTTGTCGAATCGCCATTTAACCGGCTCGAAAGAGGACATAGAATGAATGCCAAAAGTCAACAACTCTACGAATGCCCACTTCTTGGCAAGCAGGATCTGGCACCGAATTCGAACGCATGGGCTGCGTTCTCACCCGCGTGTTTTGCTCCAAGTCCGCGGGACCCAATGCTTCTTGCCGTCGCGACCTCTAGTAAACCGTATATGCACGTAATATTTGTCCGGGTCCTCATGCCATTTCCATCAGCATCAACATCGCCAACGCCTGGGTTAGGTGCGGCCTGGCGGGCGTCGCAGGCATCACAATCGATGGCAGATCGAGAGGCCGCTGCTATACTTGCCCACGTGAACGCGATAGCGCCGCAAACGGCGTTTTCCATCCCAAAGCTCGTTTGGCGGCCCGATGGATCTGGGGTTTGGGTCAATGGGGAAGATGGTGTGATTAGGGGTATAGAAGCGAAGACGGGAAAGCTTGTCGCTTCATTGAGGGGAGGACATGAACCCGGTTCCAAGGTCAGAACTATATCGGCGGGTTGGGCTCGCGTAGATTACGGGGAGAACAGGTTCGAAGAATGCTTAGTTAGTGGCGGGTATGATAAGAAATTGATTGTTTGGATGCCGGAACATAGATTATGATAAACTCGTATATAATGCTGCTTTGGATAAGATTAATTTTGCTGAAGAGAATAACAGAACTTCCAGACCAGAAGTACAATTATGTTCAGATTTCAAACAGGGATAGACCGATAAAACCAGAGCTTCGAAAATAAAAAAAAAAATAAATGATCATCTTCCTAATGGTGGATAATACATGTAGCACATCTGTCCATGCACCTCCGCACCATGGGAGAAAGGCAAAGGGTGTTTGGTAATTAGACGGCAGTAGAATTTGATCTCGGCACGAAAAGATAATAATCCTTCAGCAATTGGACATAGAGAAAATCCCACTGCTGTACACACATATGCCTGTTTTGTCCCATGGTTGGAAACGGACCATTATTAGATATAAGTGTATTCACGGTATGCGAGGTTCGTTGACTGGGTGGTAAAGGACCAAAAGTCGTCGCAGTTTTCTGAATACGCAAGAAGTGATTCGAAATTCAGGAGAAAAAAAAGAAAAAGAAAAAAAGAAATACTACATTTAAAACAAATGCGCAAGTTTCGATTCCGAGGCATTGTGAATCATGTTGCTGTTGAATTAGGGGGCGGGGGGGAATTGTCTTTCCCGTTGCCACCGCCTCATGGAAAATGAGATAAAAGTTTCTACTCACATTACCACCTGCTTTTTGGGGACAGAATAGAAAAGGATATCCGCAGAATGGCTTGAATTTTTTTCAGGATTCTCCGAATTTCTAAGTCAAGATAGAACACCTATCGACATGACACATGGAATTATAAACCCGGACCGCAACCTGGAAAACAGAAAGAAAAACAGTAGAAATCGTTTATGCGGATTCTCTCTTGCCCTCCTTCACCTCCTTCTAATAGTATGTCAGCTAAATGTTTTACGAATTCGGTAAATGCCCCTAACCAGTAGGTGGACGGCCATGAAAGTCAGAAAATCGTACCAGCGCCTTCATAGTACCATGCAGAGCATGTCTGTGGTTCCGTCGGAATTTAGGATCTGTGCCCTTAAGGGAGGGATAGCGATGCGTTTTTGGCTTTTTGATCCTGTATCAAGAAACATCCAGAAAATCAGTATTTTGTTCCTTAATCTGAGGGGATCGTCGAGATCATCTGTAGATGCGTTGCAGTTCGTTTTTCGCGATATTTCAGAGGGGATATCGAGTCAATGGACAGGGGACCGGGTGGGAAAAAAATATAACCACGTACCCGTTTCGGTGGGCTTTCCGGTTCAACGTGTGCTGCGAGCTGTTCTTTGACTCTGAGTGGAGACAAGTTGTCAGTACAGAAGGCCTCAGCACGCAAACGCTAGTGACAGGCAAGATATGAGCCTGGCAGAGATAAAATAGATGGATGATTACATACTGGCCATTTTGATGGGTTTGTGGCAACAGAAGGCTGTTGGAGTCAAAGCTGTGATGACGGAGGTTGGACCCCCAAACCTGAAGAGACACAGCGTTTGTTTGTGGGATCTCGCTTAGGCACGTGGACTCACTTGAGTGTTTGACTTTCTGCCAAACGCGATGGAACAACGGGATATTGGGCAATACTACGAGTAGTATCAATTAGTATCATTGCATTTACACATGATATGGACATGCTTAAGAAGGCTCTCTAAGAAATTGCTAATGAGGGGTTGGGACATAAAAGCATTTGTAATCTAAACATTTAAATGGCACTGTTACGCTTAAGAATTTATGTATATGTAGATATCATGGAGTGGTTAAATTGATATCCCAATTCTAACCAAATATATATATATATATATATATATATTCGATATCTAAACACCAAAGCCACCTGAGAGCTTTATGTAGTTAATTGATGAGTTCTCCTTCTAAAATTCTATCGTTCCTCAAATATTCTATGCCCATAACAGCGCCTTGGCTCTAACAAATCCATGGATCGGAGAGTTCGAGATCACGTGGAAGACTAGCCGCATTTTGTCCTGATGAACTTCCAGTCCTACTTTCCAACCCGACTTCAGTTCTGTGCGAGACACGCCGCTCCATCCCCATTCTTCTCCATCCTCCAATTGCGCAATGAACTCGTTTCGATTCGCACGGGCTGCTCTCAGGGCAAGCCCATCTACATTCAGAGTTCCACTCCAGTGCAGGGGCTACGCCGATGCCGTGGCCGATAAATTAAAACTTTCCCTTGTGCTCCCGCATCAGGCATGTCTCCTCACCCATTCGCGAGGCCTAAGTCCAATTGGATAAATTATGATTCTTTATTGATGACACATTGCTAATATATCTTGATGTTCAGAGTATATACAAGTCTACGGATGTGTATGTTTTACAACCGCTCAATTCCAGCTCACTCTCTCCCCCATCTTGAACCACCACACTAGAACACCAAAATCGTACCGATGCCTATCCAAACAATCCCATGTGTATACCACAATCACCTAGTGCTATGCCTTGCAATTTATAGTGTCCAAGTTAAT